TCCAATTCTTGTTAGTGTATGTGACCATTAGTTAGTTATAGTATGTACATTGGACAGACAGTACATTAGATAAACAGACTGCAATCAAGAACAGTCAAAAATAAATTTCAGACGACTCTCAAACAAGATTATTCTTTAATTTTGAGTACAAGTCTATTTGTTTTTCACAATAGTTCATACTGGAAGTAGCATAAGATCCACTAACTGAAAAAATTTACACACATACAGTAGAGCTTTGTTTTTACAAACAATTATTTATTCAAAACAGAATACTGGTACTAATTCCAGAAATTATGAATTTATGTAATAATGATTGGTGGTGATCTGTAGGCCTACTATCAAGGTATCTTGTTATCAATATTGGTGTTCAGTTTTACTTATTACAGTACAAATAATAGATAAGCAAGATTAATGAGTCAGAGCCAGACAGAGACTTCTCTAAAGAACACAAATGCTTCGTTGTGCTTAGAGATAACATTGACATGATTAGAAATGTCACCTGAAACAATTTGTTCAAGTTTTGCAATAATCAAGTAAGCAAGGGATTTAGCAGAGTTAGAAAGAAAAACTACATAAAACAAAGAAAAATAAGCAATTTACAAACAAAACATGAGCTTTTTTTTTATTTTATCATCATTTATCATTATTATTTGTATGTAAATCTAGTAAACACAAGGAAGCATAAAATCAAACAGTATTCTCTGATATACAAATAGTACTGTATTGTGCTTAAAAAAGATGAACTCTTTGACTTAGAAACATGTAATTTTAAAACCAATCTTTCAACAAAAAGGGCAACTGTTTTTAAACAGCAACATAATTTAAACAAAAAGTTAAATTGAAAAATTTTTAAGTGATTTTTCCCACGTAAAAAAAGTGATCAGGTTACCTAGTTGATATTCAAAACTATAACATACTACAGTATTACTACAGGTATGATCAATGTTGACAATTTTTAAGCCCTATATTTGCCAAAATCAGTGATATTTGTAACCCAACTTTATGTCTATTAAACTAATTATTAAACTATGTATCAAAGTGCAGGAAATTAATGAATTCTGTAGTCAGTTACAAAAGTATAAATTTATACCTTAATAAATTTTATAAATATTTTAATATACTGGAAAGAAATTATAAATTGTTTTGTTACACAATAATAATTACTAAAATAAAAAATGATATTTGTAATTTATTGGTATTATTTATCAATTTTTGCACTTTTGTTCTCATTTTTTTAAAATCAATTCATTGGCACCTTATCTCAAACTGAGGGTGAGAACAATAAGTATGGGAGGGGGTTCAGAAAGGGTTAAAATATTTTGGAAAAATTTTAATCAATGTTACATTATCAAGAGTATTGCAGATTATTCTCTCAAATTCACAATAAAGCATTTTTAAAATCTCAAAATGTTTAAAATTTAAAAATGCTGATTGATCTGGCAGTATATTATATTAGGGACTGTTTGATCCCTGAAGTTTTGCAATGCTCTCCTCAGTGTTGCAATTTATAATAATTCTTCACATAAACAATTAATTACTGTTGATTTTAAAAGTGACCTGCAACTGTAAACCTTTGTATTAACTGTCAAAACATAAAACAATTTTTTAAAAATTAAATAATTTGATGTGATTTAAAGTTCTGATTATGAGTAATTTTAATATATACTCTTACTGTGAGAGCCAGGACTTGACAAAAATTTTGGGAAAAACAAAATTTTCTTAAATTGGTTTAAGTCTCAGCAAAAAATTTCAATTTAATTACCGAAGGATGATCGTGTCTTTCACCCCAGAGTCACTTCCTTTCCTTTTTGATCAGTGGTGAATATTTGTAGTTAGTTCCTAGTGACACACTGAATGTGTCACTAGGAACTAACTACAAATATTCACCACTGGTCAAAAATTTATATATAAATGTTTATATAATCAATAAGCGGGTATCATTTTTTGTAATTGAATCGTAAAGTGCACTTCTTTTACCCAATTTATCTAGAGTCCAAGCACTTACATACACAAAAAAATTTCTGTGTCTGTCCAAAAGACAGTGATGTCAGTCCTAACAACTCTTGTCATTGCAAACGTGGTGTAAAAACTTCGGTCAAGTGGTGCCGAAGCATAGGTGGCACTTCGCACATTGTCACATTAAAATACAATATAACAATAAGTAAGACTTATTACACACACAAAATTAAAATTAATTCATTATATGCAATTGTGCAAGGTTTAGCACTAAGCGCACCAGAAAAATTTTCAGTGTTTTTGTAAGATGGTTTTGATGATATCAGATAAGGAAGCAATTATGCACATAAGAAAGACAAAAGTTTTTATAAAAGACAGATTTGTACATCTAGCAGTGTCCTCTAATATTAAAAATGTTTCAATGGAAAAATGGATTCTGCTATATTCATAATAAAGGTTGCAGCATTACTTCTTGCTGCCTGCAGATGGCTACACTTGGTCAGCCATAATCCACAAATGAAATCAACAAGACAGCTAATCAGACAAATTCCCTGACTTTCCAGGTATGTAGAAACCCTGCATGTATTATAATTCATTAATTATATCTGATCAACTGCCCATTGTTACTATCAATACCATCAACATGGATAAAAAAATAGATGACAATATTAAAAAACACAAGTATGCAGTTAACAAGAAACTGGACAATACAGTCCTAGCAGCATATGTTAGCCAACTTGATGTACTATACAAATTGGGGCAAAGCTAAAATTGTTGGACCCATCAATGACCTTAATTCACTCATACTTTGATGTATTAGAAATATACACAGCTAATAGAGACAACAGCTGTGCTCAGTACCATTATGTGGACACAGAGTATAAGCTGGGAGAAAATTTTCTGTAACATTTTAACTAATTTTACTAAAAAAAGTTGTAGCAAAATTCTAGAAACTAGCTAACATTTCTCATCCCTGATGCTGCCCAGAACAATACACAATACATTTATTGTTTAAACATTTGTTTATTCTTGTAGACACTGTATATTATTACAATGTACTGCACTACAAATCTAACCATAAATCTACAACCCACAATTATCATACATTATTAAACAATTCTTCTTGGGTTTTAGTCATACCAGGCAACAAATGCTGAATGAAAATCAAATTCCCATCTGGGGGAGTGTTTATGGAGATGTTTAAGAAGTCGCTGACATTTTTTTACATCAGGACAGTTTCCAATTGGCATTGTCAAGTTCATCTCACTGAAGCCGAAAGGTTTCAATGGGATGACATTAACAAAAACTAGTGGGTCTGAACGAACAAATTTGATAAATGTTGATATATGAGGTAATCTGAAAGAAGTCATTTACAACTATCATCTTATAAACTTTAGCTGATGACATATCCTTACATCTGACAGCAACAAATCTTTTAAACAAATCCTACACCATCAAAATTTGTTTTTAAAATTACAATATTAACAATTGTGTATTAGTTTATTGGAAACTGTATGTGTCTATGAAACAGAGAATAAACGACATCCCACATACATGAGGTTGTCTGTCTGTCAAGATGGACTTTTCTTTCACATACAGCAATGAGAGATTGCATTCAGTCAGTATTACAGTCCCATTTTAGAAGATATGGTGACATTAGGGTTGCCACCCAGCCAGTGTTTGGTTGGTTTGACCAGAAGTTTTAAATTGAGGCTGGTAGTCGACAAAAATATTAAGTTTCGGTAAAGCAGTTAAGTATAGACAAAAATTATATTTTAATTGAAAATAATATTAAATAAAATTTTCTCTGTGTTGAAACTATGCCCTCCTTTATGTTATACCTGAAACACCATTGGCAATTGGGATAATTAGTTTAAGAACTGTGAAGGACATAAGAAAATAAAGTGGATGTGAAAAAGTCCAATGTCTAGTGTCAACACTTTGCGGTGTCTCAAAAAATATATTAGATAAAACAAGTAAAATGGCAAAACCGTATTTGGGACAAGACTATGACTCGGAGACTCATTTCTAAGTGGAATCACTTTGACACTCAAGGTGGGTCTCGTTCTCCAATCATCTTTGATATCGCTTTTGGGCATGATCGTTCAAACTTCACTGGCCACGACACATTTTCAATGAAATATAACCTATCCAATTTCGAAATTTCTCTCCGTTGTGTGTTGGCCAGGGTTGAATTTTTGTTGATGTGTAACGAAAATTTTCTGTTTTTGAAAAAAAAATCGTGGCTATTTTATCATCTGAAATTATTTTTTTATTTTGCACAAACAATATACAGTTTAACCCGATTATAACGTCATCGGATGTAATGACAACCCTAATATAACATCAAATTTTCATGAGTCCCACGATTTTACTATACTAGATAATGTTAAAAATACCCACTTGTAACGACATAAAACTGTTTTAATGTCATATTTGAAGCACTCCCAAATTTACAAAATTAGATTACAAATTTTATTTAACATAGAAGAAACTACGTGTTCAGTCCTAAGGTCAGAAGAGTTCATTTCTTATAATGACTGTGGGTGGTACTCTCCCCCATTTGACTTTGGTGGGGTGACGTGCCTGTTTGTAGAAGAGGATTGCCATTTTGTATTTTATTTTGACTCGGTTCTAAGTCACCTGATTACCTACAAGTCTGGATTTTTTTTATGCACAAATGATTTGGGCACCTAATACTCTGTGCCAAATATCAACTCTTGACATAAAATGGCAGTACGATTTTATAAATAAGATATAGTCTTGTCAATTACTTTTAATATTTAGTATGTTTACTTAGTTTTTGTTATGATTCACAAATAATGCTGTAATACATTAAATTTTCAAATGTGTTTCCCAAAGAAAAAGAAAAGAAAGAAAAATAAGCTTGCAGAGTAAAACAGAAGATAAAAAGACAAGGGACCAAAGAATACCTCTAGAATAGATTTTTTTCATCACCATATCAATATAATGTTTAAAAGTTTACCAAATATACTCTTATAACCTCACAAAGAGTACAGGTTAAGTGAAAATTTAATACAAACCTTTGTGGTTGTCCTGGTAATTCTTTTACTAATTCAGAAGCTATCCTTGATTCTTGCACTGGAGTTGGATGACTGGCACCTACAGTTACTTCCTGCTTTGAAAAATTCCTAGACTGACTGGATGTCTGGGACTGTGCATGAGATGTATGTGAATAAAGGGAAGAATACGAGTCTTGCCTTTTAGAATATTGAGTATTTGATGCAAATATATCATGAACATCTAGTCCAAAGGCATAAGGATTTCTAGAATTAAAGGCATATGGAAAATAAGTCAATGTACCAGAAGTACCATTCATCATGGTATGTTGTTGACGAACATAAGGCAACGACTGACTGCGGTCATACAATCGACTACCTTGGTCAGTATCATAATTTTGATGCATACGATTATATGATTTTGAACCCCTAAAAGTAGAGGTATTATTAATAAAACAGCAAAATACTGTTCAACAAAATACAACAAAATTCCTTACCTTCCTCTTAGCATATGAAGATTGTGTCTGCCATTATTACCAATAGGTTTAAAAGAAGCTTGAGGTGCAAGCCCATTTAATGAAAATACCTGCAATTTAATAAATTTATTAACAGATAGCATCAAATTCTACAAATCAAATACACATTTTAAGCATTTTATTATATAATCCAAATGTATGTATACATACCAGTTTTAAACAGTAATATTCATATTATTCTGTGTCAAAAGCTTAATATATATGGTAACTATCTACAGTAACATTAGTAATTAGATTACTTAATATTAATTACTGATTAATTATTCAACGTAAATTAGCAATACCAGATATATAAACTACCACAATTATTTTCATTTCTGATGGAGCCTCATTGCCATAATCCAGTATGAGTGAGATATTATGGGTCAAAATATTGTCACTATCCATGATATTTTTATGAATGTGAAATCATACTACTACCAGAAATGATGACAACAGGTATTTGACCAAAATGGTCAATATTAATAAATATTTTATTAAATTATATACTGACCATTTTGATCAAATACATGTTGTCATCGTTTCTGGTAGTAGTATGATTTCACATTCATAAAAGTTTTGATTGTTGCTTACAAAACACTGATCCTAGTGATTTTTGACATTGTCTTAGTTAAAAAAAATTTGTATAGACTGGAACAAATAATAATCTGAGTGTGCTCGATCTGGCAAATATGGTTGTGTGATAGCACGTCCCATCTAAGTTATAACAGTTTCTGACGAGTCACCAAACTTGTGTGAAATTTGACATTATCGTGGTAGAACACTAAACCTGTTTTGTCGATCAATTCTGGCCACCTTCTCTGTTTGATGATATTACTCAATTTGTTTACTCAACGGCAGTACACTTTCGAATCAATTGTTAAATTGTCTGGTAAACGCTCCAAAAAAAAAAAAAATTTTTTTAATCCCACCTAAGAGAGCATCTCTCTAAGGACATGTGGAACCCATATATCAAGCTTTGAAACAAAACTGAGTTCTGAACACCCCCCTTTATTAATTGAAAATTTATGTCAAATCCATAAATGTTAGAAATATTTCTAATTTTAGAAGAAAAATTTTAAGCTAAAAACATAGGAAACTGGTAAAATTCACTTCCTCCTCAATGGAAGTTCTACACCCTTTTTGTTTTCTCTTATCTTCATAAATTTTGAGTCACATACAGTCCAGTTACCCCTCTGTAAACCCCCACTCTTCCTAAACAAGTGGAAATAATACAATTTTCTCATTGGAGAAAAACATCGAAAAAGGGGGGGATCTTTAGTATTATTCGGGAGTACGCCATGAAATTCCAGAGGAGAAGGACGTATTCCATATCTCCCCATGGCCAACGCCCATATTTGACTCCCGTAGTTCATACAAAGTTTGTCATTTCTAAGTTTTTAAATAGAAGAAAATGTTTATTGAAGTGCCGCCAAAGAACAAACCAAAGATAAGAACATTCACACAGAATCTAAAATACAGAAGAAAATATACATATATTGAGGTAGTATGTCTTAACTAGAAATGTAATCTCTCTCTCTTCACGACTTCCTTAATTATAATTTGGGTATTTAATTTTGCATTTTTATTTATTAAATTTTCGATATTTTATGTTTGAGGCTCTGTCACATTATGTCTGGGTAGGAATGTTTGGTCCTCTTCAAATTGATTTGTAAACACGTGTTAATCCGTGTATAATAAATTTGATTAACTGGTGTCATCATCCTGACATGGATCTGAATCTAAAAATTTGGATACCTTTTAAATGTCCTTAATGCCATCCTTCGACTAGAGATGGATCTCCCGATCCATTAACTCCCAAGAACAGATTTCACTTAATCTGTGCTGATTAAGTAGTACAAATTCTACGGATTTGTACCCTCGGCTAACTCACAAAACCAATTTGTTTCAAGTAATCATAAACGGTTCAATTTGACAAACTTAATCTCTTAGTGATTTCACGTGTTGTTATTCGGCAGTTTGCTTCAATCGGTACCTTTATTTTGTTTTCATTGGCTTCAACTGGCCATCCAGAACGTGGTGCATCTTCAATATTGAAATTGCCAGAACAAAATTTTGTAAACCAGTTTTCACACTGTCATTCTGTCAATACATCTTATCCATACATGTCTCACAATTTTTTTCTCGCTTGAACAGCGTTCTTACCTTTTTCAGTAATAAAAGAGCAAAATATGCCGAAAATGCTGCTTTCTATCTTCTGTATTTGATGGGACACAAAAAATAAACGATTGCACAAAATCAAACAATTTTTTTTTACAAATAAGCGTTAAAATGCTAGCTGTCAAAATATATAACGATAATACAGTTTAGAATAAATATGGCGAGAAAAATATGACAAATCCGTCTAGTGGTAAAAAAAAAAACAAAATTACTTTACAAACAATCCAAAAAATACGTTTTTACTCTCGTATCAGGCTGACATTACTACATAGCTAGCAGGCTATTATAAAAACTTTATTTGATATATTTTCAGCTGCATGGCCAGCCATATTAAAATTTTTTTAACACAAATAGTGTATATAAACATCCCACAAAATCTTTCATCCTTATGAATTCACAAGTATCAAAAATTGTAAATTCAAAAATGTTAAATTGTTTACATGAAATAATCGAAGAAGCAGTTTATTATTTCATTTAAGAAAAAAACTGAAGAAAAAAGTGAAATCAGTTTTCTAATGTTAAGTAAACAGTATTTTTAATTCAATACATTTGATATTTTAAAATATCTTCAGGAAAATGACAAATAAACCACACTGGATATATTTAAAATTTGTACAAAGATTTTGCAATTAAAATGTTTTTACTGACTATAAAATAAAGAAATATAAAAATTTATAAATTAGAAAAACATGCTTATGAAGAAAAAAATAAAAAATCATTGTAAAAGTTAGTAGCCTGTAATTAAAATAGACAATGTACAGTTTCCCAGTAATGCTAATGTTGGAGATTTACCAAATTTAATTTTAAAATTAAGGCAGATTCCCAAATGAAAGTTCTGTGTTAGGAACTGTTTTCAATAGCTTTACTTCTCACAATAGTATATATCTTATCTACAACAGATTTTACAAGTTCTCTCTCAAGGGCTTTCTTGTTCACAAAAATTAAAGTCAAACTGTCTAGAAGACACTCCATTGTATAAAAGGTATTGTTGAGTGTATAAAAGAGAACAGTGATTCTCAACCAGTATTCTGTAAACTTGCCTCAAGTGTTCCATGAGAGAGATTTTACTTTTTATTGCAATGTACTACAACATATTTATTTATATATCATTCCACATTCCTACTTTATTCAACACAATATAGTTTATTAGTTTACTGCTTCACTATTTTGGAAAACAGTAAACATGAAATTATGTACTGATTAGTTAACATATTGATGCTAATGCTCTGTGCAATAGAAAGTACAGAAATGATGCTCCATGACCTCAGAAAAGTTGAGAGCACTGAAATAGAGGAATAGCATGTACACCTTACAATTCAAATAAATGTAAAACAATGAATTCTGTTCATGAACTTTCAGATTAATACAAGCAAAATTATTGTCATTGTCACAATGCCAGTCCACAAGTTTTAATTTATTCGATTTAAAAAACAAGATACACCCAGAAAACAAAAGATATTTGCATATAGCACTTTGTGCAAATGAATCACCACTGTTGATTCACAGTCAGTTTGTTCTCTGATGTGTTAACTTAGTATATGTGCAGTTTTGGTAACAGTTACAACAGCAGGCTTATTGTTACTGTTTTGTCAAGGGTTAAAATGTGCACAAATATTGAAAATCTCTCCAAATATAAAGTGTTATTCACTTTCTAAATGAAAAGAAAGTTCATAAGCAAATAACAGAAGTATATAGAGATCACATTATGAATGAAGCAAGTATGAGAAAATGGCATTTAATGCTTAATCAAAAAAGATAACATGCGAAAACACTGTGCTTCAGCCACTCAAGCTGTGCTTCAAAAATTTGAGTTTTCAACTATCTACCATACAGAGCCAACTTAGCCTCCCCATGACTTTCATCTTTCCCAAGCTGAAAGTTTTTGAGTAGAAAACATTTTGAAACAGATGATAAGGTGAAAGAAGCAGTCACTAATAGTAGAAGTCTATGACAAAGAATTCAAAAAGTAGTGTCACACTATGGCAAGTGCTTAAATCATATTGGTGACTATGTAGGACAAAAATGACTTGTACCAATTACTAAATAAAACTTTACCATTACCAGTTTTTATCCCTTTATTACAGCCAAGCTTTCATTTTTTGGACACCCCTCATATGCTCTCAATTCTAGTAGTGTCTTGCCCATTTACACCACTTACACCTTTTCCTATTAACAACAGTCATGCTAATCATCTAACTAACTCCTCTGGAAAAAATTTTTGAATTTAAATCATATGACTTCTGGTCCATACTAAAAGTTTGTATATAGTTAATTGGGGACTCCTGACCCAAGCTTTCCATATCTGGTATCAACTTTAATTTATCTATGTTCTGAAGATTAATTAATTAAGTAAGCTCTGAAACCTCACTTTACCTCTGTTGCTAATGACTAAATTGTTTTTACTCCTTAGGCTACAAGAACTTGTATAGCAAAACTAGTCTAACAACTTTTCAATCAACCAATTTTGTGTTTAAAGAGTTAATGACAGACAGGCAGTCTGTCAGTGGAAATTTACATGTCTGCAATTTTAAAATTGCAGTCCAACAAGTCCTAATTGAAAGAATGTAATTATATTTGGGAAAAAAAAAGGGACAAACTTTAATAAAATGCTGTAGACAAAATTCTCATATATGGAGTCTACTATATAATGATAGAAAATGGGAATAAGAAAAACAGCTCTTTCTTTGATCATAAGCAGCTATTAGGTTAACCCGCTTTTCATAGTCATATTTATGATTCATTTACAGTTCATTACTTAGAATCTTCCTTTACTCAAGCTCTTAAGATTCATGTTTGAACAGCATGATAAAAAGTTATCAATCCTACATTTTACAGTATTAGGTTTCATGAAGTAAAATTTATACATATTTCCATGCAAAGACCTACTTTGTTTTGTGAATTAAGAAAAATTGTGTGAAAAAGTTAAACATTAAAAACAACATGCACGATAAATTATTAAAAAATTTTAAATAAATTGGTTAATTGAGTGCTCTGTGCCAAACCATCTCTGAATTCTGTGTAGGCTAAATATTTATATATTGTATCATAAAAATTTGAACATTCTTTAAACTGAAGAAGAGACTTTTCAGTAGACTGTAATAAAGAAATCATCAAAAGTACAAGATTCAAATGCATCTTTAACAGAAAACGCAAGTAAAATTGGTTGAGACAAAAGGATTATTTCAAAATATATTAACTGACATCAATATCCCACTGGAAAATTAAAGCCTGAATACAAATCAAAATTGACAAATTGCAAAATGACTTGCAATTAAATCATCTCTTGACATAAGATTTGCAACAGAAACAAGATATGCAGTAAAGTGTCTCACAAACCATAGTCAATATGGAAAAGAAAGCAACATACTCCAAATATTTAAAAAGAAAGCCACAACTGAAACCAAATCACATTAAAGTACATAATTGGATATGCCACTACCACAATTGTTAGTAGTGGCATTTACCTTACATGACTCAAAATTTTAGTTTACTCGCACGTTTGTTTTGGCACCAATTTAAAAACTATTAAAAATCTGTCTTTGAAAAAACAATGCATTATGAAAAAAAAAAGCACCATCATGATGACTATTTTTAGTAATAATATAAGTAGCTTTGGCTTCAATGGAAAAACAAGTTCGGTTATAGTAGCAGCAAGATTTTTTGGATTACAGTACATCAAACCCATTTATTACCATTTGAGGAAAAAATTGCTGAGCAAAATTTTTGCTTTCATCACGACAACATAACATGTCAATGTCTTGCATGTTACAAGTAAGTGGTTTAACGATAATCAAATGAAATGACTGGAATGGTTTGAAGTAGCCAGGATCCAAACCCTATTAGAAAAACTAGGAGGTAATTAGTCATTCTATATCAGTGTTTCTCAACCTCTAACAAATCGTTGTCCCCTTCAACAAACCCGTTACATAGTATCGCCCCCTTCAGTTCAAAATTCCGATGCTGAGGGCCAAGGCTAATGCCAAATTCATACTGCATTGAATGGACTAGTGACTAGTATAATGTTATTTTGTTTAATTATTGTACAATATAACGAATAAAATATCTAAATTATTCTTAATATGATGTTTTACTATATTGCGCAGAAAATTGTTTTTTGCCCCCAAAATATAAATTGCTACTAATCGCCCACTCAACATAAAAAAACACCCACATGGGACAATATTGCCCCCGTTGAGAAACACTGTTCTATATAAATGTCAATGGAAAGCAATATATAGTAAAACCTCACTGAATTGAAGTTTATAAAGTAAAAAATTTCCCACTTTGAGTTGACAAGTTTAATAACAAATTTTCTCAAATTTTTCTGAAGCTATAAATTTCCCATTGTCAAGGCATTTCTCAGAAATCTGTTCGCAAAAGGTTTACAGTTAATGGTGCTTTTGAGTGCATTATCGATGCAAGTTTATGTCCTAATCAGAACATCAGTAAATATACTATCCGTAAAAGGATGATGATACAAGGTTGTAATGGCAAATTGTTGTGTTTGGCATGGAGATAATTAAGATAAAGAAATACTACATTTGTATTCTTCATTTTCTCTTGTATTCTGTGTAAATACAAGTGAAAATGAAGATTACAGACCTGTCAAATGGTGGCAGGTAAACAAAAAATAGATTCAAGCTAGAACTATACAATTATAATATTTTGATATAACCTAGACCATATTATGTGAAAAACCATATATTCAGTACTTGGGACTTGGACAGTTTTGATTTAATGCAAATTAACAATGCAGTTGAACTTAGTGAAATTTTAAAGTAATTCACTTGAAATTAAACTTGCAGTATGTTCTGTATGCTTTAGAAAAAATTCTTATAAAAATACTTGAAAACTTGTGAAAGAAAAGAATTTTTTGGCCAAACAATTAAAAAATATATTTGTATTAAAGAGGGAAAAAACTTCATTAAATCAGTTAAGTTTATTCATAAGCTAAACTGGATAAAAATATATGAAAAGCAATATTTCTTTTAACTTAAAAACTTAATATTTTTAAAAATTTTATCTCATATGTTTAATTCTCAAAACTTGCATTTTATGACACTTAGTTCTAAATGTTACTAGATACAGTGCTGTAAAAAAAATTATCACAGTTACTTTTTGTGTACATACAAATCTGATCATCTTTAATTGAATCATCTCAGTAATAACATTTGAAAAATTGATTGAAATATCTATACAAGTTATTTAGATATATGTAAATTGATTGTGAATCAATTTACATATCTCAACAACTATTAAATTTAAAATTATTACTGCTAATATTTCTTTACAGGATTAAATGTTCAAAAATACAAAGAACAGACTACAGAACTTAAGAATTCTCTTCTCCTATCAGGAGTTTTTCATAATATTTACTTTTTAAAAAATTCACTGATATTTTGTTATTTGTAGATAGCATGAAAACAACCACACATTGACATACACATTTAACTATGTATAAAAAATTCATCTAAAACTGATGATGCTCAATCTATAGCACAATAAACTTTATGAATGCTTGTTGAAATTTCACAAATATAATCAATTTAAAATTGTACTTTCATAATGCAGTTTATGCTCCCAATGTCTCTCTTACTTAATGCTGGTGCCAATTAAATTTATTAATTATACTGAAGCAATAATTTCTATATTTTATATAATTACATTAAGTTCTGGCCAGTATTTTTTTACACCCAAGTCTTTTTCAGGTAAGTGTACAATATTAATTAATTCATGAACATTTGAAGAAAACAATAATAAAGAATTTACTTACTGCACCCAAATCAAAACAAGCTGGAGTTGCTGGAGCCCAAGCTTGCAACATTGTTGGAGGATAAAAAGGAGGATATACCTAAAATTAATGAAATTTAAATTTATTCATTATTCATTTTAAAAATTAAATATTAAAATCATCTTCAAATTAGTAATATTATATTCTCATTTTGTTTCATGTAATAGCATAATAAATTCTAGATTTGAAAAAAAATCTTTTATCCATCCAACCTATGATGAAAAAATTGTAATAATTCAGGTAAAATAAAACTAACTTTGTTCTTTACTTTATCCAAAATGGGAGTGAGAAAAGTTCAAAATAAATAAATTGTTACTTGCTTCATTGAAAAAACTAGGATAGCCAGTTAAGCTTAACTTTATTCACTTCATGGACTTTATATATATGTTATGGACAAAGTGATTAATAAGGGCATTGTAATAAATTTCAATAATTTATCATATTGACCGGTCATTATGAATACTGCTATCATCTAATTGGGAAAAGTGATAATAATGCGTAAAAGAGTGATAATCCAAAATATGCTAGCCAATCAGCACTCGCATCTGAGTTGCACATGCGTGTTGCGTTTAGTACTGAATTTGTGGCAGTCACATCTGCTTGTGCTTTTGATGGATTCCTCCCAGAGAGCTGCTACTGGCAGGCCGCATACTGTAATATCACTGGATATTAATTCACAGTAGTTCTTGATCACACATATCAATAACTAGTATGTATCTAGTGACGGTAAACATATATCTAGTGACGTTAAACAGTCGGCAGCCTGCCAGTGGCTTCCCTCTGGGAGGAATCTGCCGGGAGCACAAACAGTTGCGACCGCCGCCATTACGGTGCACATAGGTAAAATTACCATTTAATTAATATAGTTAATAGTAATTAGTTTTAAAACATTACATGTTTTTTTTTAAATAACTTGAAATAATTCACAAAAAATAAATATTTCGAAATGGAATAAGTGGAGATTTTTTTTAATGAAATTAAAATGTCGCACAATTAAAATTCAGTACAGTAATACCTAGACTTACGCGAACCCAGAGTTATGCGATTTTCAAATTGATTCCTCTTTTGTTTGAGCGCCACGCAACTCTAGATTACTCACTCCCCTCACACTATTGTTCTGCTAACATGTTCGGACTTGTCACGCGGAATCGACACATAGCCACAATTTATTTTGTGTTATTTATATCTACGGAGACTGGAGAGACTATGTGGTGATTTCTTGTAACCGTGAACAAATCAAATGACAAGATAAGATTAACGAGAGCATTTATTAGCTTACATACATCCGACTTGGATTTTACACAAATTGCAAAATTATACCCTGACTTACGCGGTTATCGCTAGGTCCCACCTATCGCACAAGTCCAGGGTATCACTGTACTAAATGCAATATGCACTCAACACGATACAATCAGCAATTCAGAGTGCCAATTGGCTAGTGTATGTCAGATTATCACTTTTCAACGTATTATCATCACTTTGCCCGACTAGGTGATAGCAGTATTCATAATGACCAGTCAATTTGATAAATTAATGAATATTTATTACACTGCGTGCCCTTTTTGGTCATTCATAATGCTCGATTGATCACTTTGTCCATAACATTATATATATATATAAACAGCAACATAGATTTGAATATATGATTATATATTACAATGGCTACTACAGTAAAATATTACAATATACACACAATTTCTTATTTACTAGTCAATGAAAAGTCAACAACAGTTTCAATCCAAGTATCTAGATAGAATTCTTTTTGATAAAATTTTATGCTGTAGTAACAGAAAACCTAATATTTCAAAATATGATAATTAATTAAACTATGTCTGAATAAAAATTGTTAGAAATAAACATGCTGATGCCAAAAATATCCAGCAGAAACAGACTTTAATAAACTAAACATACATTTTCAGTAGTTTTAAACCATAATCCTCAGGTTAAGTTAAATGGAATGTTAACAGAATACAATTTTTGAAATGGAAAGAACTACAGTTCTGTACATTGGAAAGAAGCTTGCTTGTCTTTGATTATGCATGCAATTGGAAAGTTTTATTAATAACAATCATAATTTAACTAAAACATGACAATTTAAAACAGTTAAAAACATTCATTTAGTTTATTAGTTTGTGTCTGCTGGATATTTTTAGTTTCAGTGTGCATACTTTAAAAGTTTCATGTCAAGTTCTCCAATAGTATCATATAAATAAAAATTTGCCAATATAAAATTTAATTTTTCAGTTATAATTTTTGTACTTACTTGTTGATTATTATATGGTACTGTAGGTATACTTCCATAATTGTATCTCTGCTGCTGCTGTTGTGGTTGATTTAGATACATCGTTGATTCTACAGGTTGACGCAAGCCATTTTTGGATGGCTGAATGAAGGAGGCACGAGTAATGGACTTGGCCTTGATACGGGCCTATATATAAAAAAAAACTAGTTTGTATAGATTCTTTTTTGAATTTTACATTAAATTTTAATTAATATTTAGGTTTTAAAAAATAAGAAATTGTAACTGCAAAAACATTTTACTATGTTTAACCTCATAGTTTTGTCTACTCAATTTTGTAATTTTATTGAGGAACTTTTGACTTTAAAAATAAATTAAAAGTGAAATTTTGAACAATATAATAAGTTTAATTATATAATTACATTGTAAAAAAATCTGTCTTTTAATCATATATTATTTCATATAATGCTACAATTAAGAGCTGAAATAATATTTAAGTTAGCATTTACATTCAATTTGAATGAGTATATACAATAAGTTAAATTTATGGCAATCAACATTAACAGCGTAACTAATTTATATTAAAAAATTTTATTAACATTCAATAATTATTAGAGAGGTTGTGGCCGATGTTTTCAATTTTAACATGTGTACATCAGATGTTCAGCGCCACCATCTTGTAAGCATAAAAGTTTGACAATGGTGTTTGGAACATCAGTGGAATCATGCTCGATGTTCCAAATGTCACAGTCAAACTTCTAAACTTACAGGAAGATGGTGCTGAACGTCCACGTACACGTTTTCGTGTTTATAACGCTGGCCACAACTTCTCTATTATTAGCATTACTGTATATTACCTGAAATGAAACATACTAAGGTAACAAAAAAAAACCCAAAAATTTAATTTTGCAAAATTCAGTTAAATTCATGAAAAGGCCAAATGACAATTTATTATTAAATTAAGATTTACCATGATTGGCTTTCCCTGAAAAGTCTTGACTTTTTCACGAAGGTAGCAATAAGCACGGTGAGCATCTTCATCTGATTCAAATGTTACATACCAACTGTTGTTATGGGCAAATTCACAGCTTACAAATTTTGGACAGTTTTCACTGTCAAATAGAGATTCTATTTCCTGTAATTATATTAAAAACAATTAATATTTTTTATAGAATATAATAAAATCTTACTTGATAGAAACATACTTTTACAGGTGTTGTTTCTGGAATCTCTCTTAAAATCAACACACAACGTTTATGGCTTGGGCGTACCTTCTTTCCAGAATCATCAACTTGAACATGGGGGGATTCTAAAGATTATATAAATTTTTTTAATGCAAAAATATTCTGAACAATACTTTTAAAATATTAATTTAGACAACTTTTTTCAAATGAATAAACTTTAATTTTTTTTCTTACAAGATTTTTATAATTTTTCTAATTATATTTCAATGTCTCTCAATACAGTATGTATATTTAAACATTTACAAAAATAAATTTCACTGTAAACAAATTGTTTTACTGGGACATTGAATGGCTGTTGTATCTTGATCAGTGCTGCTGCCTGTTTCTGGTGGAATTACCCTGACAGCGCTTTCGTTTTACCTAGATTACCCTAAATTGAGAAAACTCTCTGAGTTCGACCATCGCGCTCATGCTCGGATTAAAAAAAAAAACAAGAAACAATTCTATGACAGATCCCTGTACTATTATTGTGAAGTAATAATCAGAACAATTCTTAATTCATTGTTTTTAAAAATTTTAATAACTAAAATGACTTAACATTTTTAGGCTTTATCAGAAGTATTAATTTACATCTGATGTGGAAAGTGCCAATGACTCAATGGCATGAAGGTTGAGAAAAGCAAAGTTCTACTTGGGTGTAATATACAGTGTACACCCATGTACTTAGCACAAATCTGCTTTATTTCTTTAGCTTCTGTTGTTCTATCCTAAAACCCTCCAGTTATAGGGAAAACAATGGTTTTAGACTAAAACTTTTTCTGGAAAAACTTGTGGCGCAATGAGTAATATCAAATCACAGCAATTTTACCCTAAATATAAGACTATCCTAAACATTATCCCGAGAGGTTGAAATTACCCTAGAAACAGTGGCACTGATCTTGATAGAATTGAGACAGTGCTTGAAAAAAAGCTATCCTTATATCTACGTATGTGGCTACAGTACTTGGCACCAGGGACAAAGTATATTATTTATCTTTTCAGCTGCAAAATCACATTTTAATTTAATTCTAAATAGCAAACAAATTGTATAGGGTATTTTAATTAAATGGAACATAAAAATTACAAAATGTAAAATGTTACTTATTAACTCCATCAAGAACAATCTGAGCAGAATTAGAAAAAGAAAAATGAAACTGTTATTATGAACGGAAGGATAGACAAAGGTGGGTTTAGGCGATGAAAGTTTGAATGTCGAATTACGAAAGCAATTTACTAGCTACTTCAAGGGATAAGAAGTGTATTTGGTATTCTTGCGTTTATATTATTATTTATGATCTAAGCAACTAATAACATCAATATAGTGATCTTCAGATTTACTTTGTAGTTATCAAATAGATGTAATTTTTCAAACATTTATGATGACCATTTATATCCCATAAGATTAAACCCCAATCTCTAATAATCAGGACTCCTGACACTCCTTAGTCAATTTCACAGACTAAGACACAAATGAACATTTAAACTTCTGGACTTTAAGGAAGGAAACATGGATAATCCAATGCAGTTACACCAAAAATCTATCAAACGTACTTGACATCTAACAAGATTAAAATTTATTAACATTAACCTGTCCAATGTTGTTCCAGAGTATTTGTGTTGACCTCATTTGACCTAACCCGTTGACCCCAAACATACTCATTTCTGCATCAAAATGTTTTTGATATGAGATGTCACTATGCATCATAATTTTTATATTATAACAAACTTTCGAAATATGAGTGAAATATAAATTGAAACCAATGACAATAAAATTAGATTCAAGGTAATGTTTACTTTAGTTAGACCTTCTCAAAATATTCTAAACCTATTTCATAACTAATGAGAGAGTTTACAATACAGGTAACCCCCGTATAACACGGTAGTTACGTTCCAAAAAATTGCCGTGTTATGCGAATCCGTGTTATACGAAACAAAGAACTAATACGAAAAGGAGGGTTAGGTTCCAAAAATTAAAAAAAATGCTAGTATATTTTCATAATTAAGATAAATATCTTCATTAAATTTTTTTAAGTGATACATATTAATATAAATTAAACAATGTTTTCTTCGTCATCACTAAAAACACTATTAATTAACCGAGAGCGTTTTCTTTTTGGCAAGTTATCCTTATCCTCTGAGCATTTTTCTGCATTATCTTCAGATCCATGCTTTACCTTTTGCAAAATGTATGTAATTTTAGATTGCTTGCTTCTAGTTAAAAGGTCTTTATAAATTTCCTTATATGGTGCTAAGCACTTATGAAGAATAAAGCAAGTATGGAATAAGGGAAAAACATTCGGCAACATCAGAAGCAGAAGCGTCGCGATCTGGCAACATTGAAACAAGTTTCGAGAAGGACCACGTGTATCGACAGAAGGCGAGAAGAGAAAATTTACATACTTAAGTACTAATAGTTCACGAAAATAATAATTTTCGTGAACTATTATTACTTAAGTATGTAAAAATTTATTACATTTCCTGTTGTACGAGGGTTTTACCCAATTCTCGAACCGTGTCAGAGTGAATCCGTGCTATAGAAGTGCCGTGTTATACGGGGGATGGTACCAATTCTCGAACCGTGTTAGAGTGAATCCGTGCTATAGAAGTGCCGTGTTATACGGGGGTCACCTGTATTTAAAAATTTATACCACTTATATTTCTTTAAAAGTTCCTTTCAATGGCAATCTTTCTTATCTTCTTTAAGTGTCTAAGGTTGACTTTAGACAGCAGGGTAGCTGAAAACAACCAGGGAAGAAAGTGTCCCTATGACAGTCTTCTTCAATTAGATTTCCACACTCTTTCTGTTGTGGTGGGCCTTATTTAATTTTTTGTCCATTTACCAGGGACCATTTGGGTCAACCAAGGAGAGAAACAAGGAACTTCCTTGTTGAGTTGATATCAGTATCTCTCCTCAGAAACTTCCTTCAAAAATGAAAGTCTTGATGGCTCAAGAACAGAAAATGGTTTTTGTTATAAACTTTACTCATCAATTTTTTACAAAAAGTTTCAGACCTAGATTTTCTCACATTTTTGCTTTAAATAAATGATTTATTATAAATTACACTTAAGCCACCATAAACCTGTTAAGATCATAAATCAGAAAATTGAATATCTTCCTACACTTTAATGTGGTTAGAAAATTGCCTTCGTAACATGACCTTTGAACTTATACCACAAACACTGCTGTCATAACCTTAAAATTCTTTTTCATTACTACTGTACTATGGGCCTTGTCGAATGAATAAGTAACTTCAGAAAGTTTATACTTTCTCAGTACCATAAGCTTAATTCCAAACATAAGACAAAGTTTAATAATGTTAATATCTATGACAATAAATGGGGTTGACAACTTCACCAGTTTAGTCATCTCTAACAGATAAGAGAGTATTGTTCAGCTTTTTACAACCTGCCTCCTCTCCTATTCCTATTTTAAACCAGTCTTTATTCAATGCCTAAAGTCAGAATTTGTACTATAAAAAAGTATTAAAACTAAAACAAAGAATAAGTTCTAAAATATTTTGTACACAATTATATTGAAGACAAAACTGTTTTCATAAGGTAGGTTATGGACGATGGCATCCTTTATTCAGAGGTAAATATTATACACAACCTATTTGAAAGGTATGAGGGATTGTAAAAATGTCCATTAATTAACCATAGATAACTAAACTTAATTTTCAGTTACATTATAACTACACATTTGTCAAGCGGATTACACATTAAAAAACATTAATATCAACAAAATTGTTTACAATAGGAACTTGTTACATGGCACAATAGTATGGATAAATAGGAACTAAATAAGGACAAAATATTTAGGAAAATAAGATTACACGCAGTTGCTACATATGTTAACATTATGGGGACCGCAAAATGCATTTTTGCATTTCATGCAACAGTGTTTTATCATTCATCGAGCTTTCGATAGACATAAATAGTATATTTTACACGGATTCAAAGCAGAATGAATAAGACTTGTACACTGGGTACATCACCTAGAATATCCTGTATTATGGTTCTGATATCACGCCTCAAATGCACTGTCTGTAACTGCTGTTGTAGCCAGGGCTCCATGAATTTGTCTCCCATCTTCATAAAAGAGATCCCACCGGGACATCGGTTTTTTTTGTTTCTAACATTATTAGAGACATAGATAGCATAGCTGTTCATTGCCAATAGGTTTAGCATATTATAAAACACGCATAGTGGCCACCTTTTGGTTTTGACTCATATTTGAACACATTTGATCTACTGTGTCTACTGCACCCTTTGTACTATTATAAAAATGTATTATTTGTGATTTTCCTGTATTTTCATCTATGTTAAGTTGATCATAAATAGTCGACAAAACAAGCAATTTTATTTGACTTGGCTTCATACGAAACTAATGTCTTATTGTTGTCATAACAAAATATTGAAGTACCAACAGCACGTGATTTAGAATTTTTTAATTTTTCAGGAATTTCTCTTTCGTTACTTCTAAGAGTGCCAACTAAGGTCAAATTATAAGGTGACTTCAATAGTTCATCTGCCAAAAATACAGATGTGAACCTGTTATCCATAGTAATGTTACAGTTTGTTCCATGTAAAATAGATGTTATTTCCTTTACAAAAAATGTAGCCAATATTTGTTTCTGAGAATCAGTACCTTTTCCCAAATAGGGAATGGCATTTATCACATACAACTGTTTACATCTGCAGCCATCATAATGTACATGACTTTGCAACAAAGTTACATAGTACTCACTACACTGTTTATTCAAATTATTAAGGTATAAAAAGAATGATCGGCAGGAAGTGTTGGAAAGTTTCTGAATTTAACTTTTGAGCGGTGATGCGTCATGTGGACGAATGATTAGTTATCTAGGGTTAAGTAGAGGTGTCTGTTAATGGAGGTTTCTCCATATAATTTTTCATACTCATATACAATAGTTTTCTATGAATTTATTAATTTGCCCATGTTAACAATTTTGGCATCCTGGGCATATACCACCTGTATCCTACTTTTCATTGACTTTGTTTATACCTGCCAGCCACAAGAAAGGCAATCCACATTGCTTCCAGCCCAAGAATCCAATGGAACACCCAAGAATCCAATAGAAGCATCATTCTTATGCATTCTTGTGTTAGGGCATAGTACAAAATAAGATGGCATGTTTCTGTTAAGGAATTGTGCTCAATTTTCCATAATAATTTTGAAAGCATCCAAAATTCTGTAATGATGGGTTAAAAAAAGGGGGAAATAATTATGAAAAATCTGGAATAATTTACACATCTGCTCAGTTAATAAACAACTGAATAGATTAAAAAAACAAAATCCTTAACATACATCAAACCTGGAGGAATTCTGACTAATACCACAAAACAGAGAGAGAGGGGAAAAAAAAAAAACAGTCTAATACGTGCGTGCGCACAAAAAAAATACAGGTATACCTCGCTTTACATTGGTAATTGGTTCCAGGAGAGGCAACTTAAGGTCGAATTTACTTGTCACTAGGCTAAACCACAAATAACCATTCCCAGTTCTATATTTTATTTATAAATGCATTTTTTATAACATATTGTTAATAAGAATCTATTTTAATCTTACAAACAAATAAATTTTAATTTTTAATATAGTACAGAAAAAAGTGATCTAAATTTACAAATTCATGTACATACAGTGCATACTTGTAAATGTACATGTCTACAATTTGGCAATGTTTACAGTATATCGCAGAATCTATTTGTGAATGTGGTTTGTTCTAAGATATTATAATATAAGATGATTTTGTAAGGCTAAATAACAAATACAGTTATTAAAATTATCTTGCGACAGTAGAAAATAAACTAATTTATATTAAATTTATCAAGATCGAGTGGTGCAGAAAATGACTTAAACTTGATTTTTATTTTTCCATGTATTTTTTGACAAACTACGTATAATTGAGAACGACGTAACTCGAGGTATACCTGTAAATAATAGAGATATCCAGAACAGGTTCAGTCAAAAGATCAGCACTAAGTTGCAACCAACACTGTCATATCCCAACATTCACAAGAAAATTTTATTGTAAGGAAGCATTGAATTTCAAAGCATTCCAGATGCAAGTGTTAATGCTCTATTGTAAAAATAAAATTCTGAATTTTGCTATTTATACACACAATAATAAAGAAAACAAGATATTAAAGTTGCATTACTTTACATCTTAAAAACACTACTAGAAAACAGCATTATTGCAAATGTATTTCCAAAACACTAAATTATAGTTAATAAGAAACTTTCAAAATGATTTCCATAACTTCAACGTAAGTTTTCTATTTATAATTTTTCTATTATTTATAAACAGATTTCTGAAATGCAATACTGTGACAAAAACTTTTATAAAAAGAAATTATCAATATAGTTGAGATAATCATGAGTGAATAACTGCAATATTAATATTAACTTATATTAATAAAAATCTTACCTCTTAGAACCTCAACTATTAAATTAATGTCTTTTGTAAGGCCTTTAATTTGGTTGAAGTTGGCAACAGTGCCAATTGGTACATACTGATCACTATCCATCTGAGAAACTAAATAGGTATCAGTGGCCAAGTTTTCTCTGTTAAATATAAAATAAATTTAAATTATAGCTAATACAGCTCACAAAATTAAATAAAAAAATTATCACAAAACTTATTTAAATTATTACTGATTTACTTATTTAATATTTTTCTTATAAAATCCATTTTCAATTGAGATTGTTGATCTTTGATAAGATATAATAATAATAATAATAAAAATTATTAGACAAAGATGTATGTAAAGCATGTTCACACATTTGCCAAATGTTAAATATTTTCCTTTGGCTAAATTATTTGTCACTTGCCAAGCACACACGTACAGTACATACATTCAATTTTCCAAGCATTGGTTTGTTGCAGAAATTATGGATATTCATTAAAGATACAGAAAATGGAAAATTCTCAAACAATACATCGTGCCACAGCTTTTATACTTGCAAGTAGTATAGTTACATCTGTTAATTTTCACTTATAAAGACAACCTTTTATTTCAGGATATACCTCTGCAATAAAATTAATAAAATCGTACAACGTACTTAATCCGTTCCAGGTGCACGTCCGTTAAGTGAAACGTCCGTTATACGAAACGCATTTTCCCATAGAAATACATGTTAAAACATATAATTCGTTCCGCAGCATAAAATAACCGTACTGTACCATAAAAAATGAAAATGGAGCAGACACCAATTATGCCGGGTAGTCAGATGTGAGGAGGAGGTGGAAGAACACTTTCTTTACACATTCGTACAGATACAGACTTTTTACACATTGCAGCGGGTCTTTTTTTATTGTTTTTTTTTCGGAGTCAGATTCAGGAGAGGCTACCGGAACTTGCAGGGTCAACTTCTCTTGTTCCATCCTTTGTTTTTTGCCCGCTGGCTTCTTGAAAAACATGACCAAGGTGGTCTGTTTCTCTTTCTTCTTTAACACCTGTCGGAAATGACGGACAAAGGTGTCATCGTAGAGATCATTGATCCTGTTGGCCTCAGCTCTGTTTGGATAATGAGTGTTGGTAAACTCCTGAACCTCTCCCCATTCGACAAGAAAGTTTTTGTCAACTTTCACTCCTGATGATTTCTTGCTTTGTTTCAATTGAAATCACCTTTCTGTTTTTTTAGAAGCCATGATGCATTATAAATGACTTAACTTGCCAGATTATATGATACGAATAATTCTTTATTAATTAAGATCACTAAACACTTCTACGAGCTACTCTCGCTCCGTTTGTTTTTTACAACCTCTTTTCGTCCCGCCACCTCGGCATCTACACAATTACATTTCGTTTATTTGAATCGTCAACATATACTGTATTACATTACATTTAATGTTTATTTAAATCATCAACATATATTACATTACATTTCTACTTCAGATATACTAATAATACATTCTAATAATACTAATATATCCTAAAAATAGCAGATTGTCATTGGCAACGGCAAAAGAGTGGAAACATCATTCGCACTTGTTCGAAGAAAGTCCATTGTTCGTCTCACGTAACTGCCGAACGGAAAGTCCGTTGTTCGCAGCAGGTCCGTTGCTCGAGTCACATAACGGTCAAACAGAAAGTCCGTTATTCGCAGCGTCCGTTATTCGAGGCGTACGTTATACGAGGCACCACTGTATATAGTCCACCAAACTGCTATATTAAACGTATATAGCCACCAAACTGCTATATATTATGCAAATAAGTCTGCTTAATTATTTACTGTACTAAAATTATTATCAAAGGAGTAATAGAATTTAAGCAGACTTACAATTTGAGTGCCATATCAAATAACTGCTATTTTTGTAATTACATAATTTAAAAATAAATTTAAAATGCTAACAAATCTTACTGATCGTTTTTTAGATATATACACATACTGGGAGGTGCAAAAGTGAAAATAGGAAGAAAAACATTTTTATATACAAATTAAATCACAAATAAGGAATACGAACTAATAAAAGATAATAATAAACACCAAACATTTATATTTCTCAGATTCTCAACTGTATACTTACTTTTGCACCCTCGTGTATAATCAAATGTTTAAAAATAACAATATTTGATTAATAAATTTTTTACCACACACACTAGCTCACTTCAGAGACTAAAATACTTCTATTCAAATGATGTATTACAAGTGGTAAAAATCTTACCTGGAAAAATAATACTCTAATTGTTGTTGTAACAGACTTCTTAGCTGAGGAAGGGGAATGGTCCCGTCAGAAGAGTGGATATCATCTAAATGAAATTATTTAAATTAAAACAAAATTTTAAATTTAGCATTAAAAACTCAATTTATTCACAAGGCAAAATTACTACTGTTCTTAACTTATTACTAGATTGCCAAACCATATTTAGAATTAAATGAGTGATTTTCTCTATGTGTGGTAATACAGTCGACCCCCGTATAAGATCATTGATTATTCCATTTTATATGAATTCCATGTTGTACGAGTCACTTAGATTTTACAAATACGTGTACCGGGCTGTGAACAGCTCACGTATTTGTAAAATTTAAGTGACTTGTACAACATGGAATTCATATAAAATGGAATAATCAATGATCTTATACGGGGTCGACTGTATTTATGTTCAAATTGATTCATTCTAAAACTGAAAATAATTATTGAACAGGTCATACTTCTGGCAAATTTTGAAATATCCAAATATACTTTCACCATTTACATTTTACTTATCAATTTCATATATAAATGTATTATCAAAAAGGGAGGGGAAAAAACACACAATTCAATTGATTTAAATATAAATTAAAATAATAGATACCTATTTCAAAATTTAATAAATTTTAAATCTTCAATTGATTCAGTATCAAGTTACATTAAGTGTATTATTAAATGAGCCTTAATTTTTGTACAAGTCTCATGAAAGGATTAACAAGTTAATAAAGGCAATAACATGATCATTTAGTTGATCCATTCAAACAACTGAATATTTATGAATGTTGTAACAACTTCATTACAAATAGTTTTCACTATGACAATGTTAGTGTTATTCTATTTCCAAAGAGCTATTAAAATCAAAACAAGAAAAATTTGTAAATTCGCAACTTTTGCTCATTGTCTAAACAAATCAGCCAATGTCTGATGAATGTGCTATAAATTTCTCACTTTACATTTTGTCTAGCCAATTTGGAATTTGGCTATTTTTAACTGGCCAATCTAATGTTATATATTTAAACAACCATCTGACATAACAAGCTTACTGCTATTCTGTTCTTGTCTTTTTAGTAGTAGTATTATTTGTAGTAGTATAAGCAACTGTATAATTGCAAAAAATTCTCTTAAATTTTTATTTCAAACATCTCTCTCAAGATGACAAGACATTGAAAAGAGGAGTCACAACGTAAAAAAAAGAACCAGTGTGATATAAGCCAATATTTTCTGGTTATTCCCGTATTAATTTAAAATTGTCAGAAATATTTAACAAATGTAAATATAAAAAATCCTTTTCCAATAAAAGAAATACAAATTTATATAATTAAAATATTTAACATACTATAATACTATACCTGTTTGTTGAATATTAGGGGTGTCAGATTCAACCTGATCCTGAGAAAGAGACAGAAGGTCCAAGGGCAAATCAACATTGGCAGTGCCATTCATTGCCACAGGTAATTCTTGCTCATTGCCACTACAATCCTCAACAGCTATCTCCAATTTGGACCCATCTTCAGGAAATAAACTCTCACCTAATATTGACAAATATTTAGATTAAGAATTTTTTACATATATCTCAAGCAATTCTAATAATTAAATATAACTTAATTAATAATAATACATTATTGCTAAAACTGCTAGGTCAGTACTAGGTTTCTTATTTTTGAGTCAGAGCAACAATTTTACAATGTAAAATGCATCATAAATAAAACATGCATGAGTCCTAGTCATGGCTCATTGACGTTATGTTTCATAAACTGAGGAAAGTGGCTGTATAACAGTAGTTACTTTCATTAGTCTTAAACAAGAGACTTTTTTGGTGTAGAGCAAATTACTGGTTTGAGAAAAAAAACAGACATTACATCTATTTTTTTAAAATGTATATGTATATATATAAATGGACGTGTGTGTCCCTATATTTCACTTTTCCGCCAAAACTACACATTGCACGTGAATGGTGTTTGTATGTGGTAGTATCCCCAAGTCTCCATTCGTGCACTATGGGGTTGCGTCTCAATAGCTATAAGGGTGCAGGAAATATGAAGCTGAAAGTGGTTGAAAGTGGTTTTGTATTTTGAATGTTATGTTCAAATTTGTTCGAATTAAATTCAAACAATATTCAAATTAAATTCGAACATAAAATTCAAATATTGGTTCGATTATAGAACGATTGTAAACATTCCAGAAACATTGAAAATAGTTCGTTTGACTGGACGTGAACAGGAGACGTTCAGAAATAGAATCGGGACCAGGTCTCTAATTAGTCTGGAAATGGGGGACCTAATTCTTGCATTATGTGAAAACGGGTAAGATTGGCTATAATGTAATTATCTTAATCTTCACTACCGTTACTTTTTGCCCACAAATAAAAACCCAGCGAAGCGGCTCCTTGCAGCTAGTGTATATATAAATATACACCATTTCTTTATTGTAATGTAGTTGTTAAATTACATTACAATAAAATAAAGAAATATAAAAGAAAAACAAAGTAAAAATGGATATAGTCAGAAGACAAGATACTGTCAATAGGTTTGAGCAATATAAAATTGTAATATCTGTTCTCATTATGTCAGGGATTTTTAAAACATACTCAAAGCACAAGATACAAGTTGTATGTGACACTGCTTATCAAAACAAAACTTTTATTCATATACTGAACAAAATTAAAACACAATGAGAAGAAAATCTGCAAATATTTCAATACATTTTCAACATGTTTGCACTTTGATTTTATTTTACTAGAAACTCAGTTATAAGATATGCATGATGTTATGTATAACAAGTAAAGCTTATAAATGAATAGCCATAATTTCAGCATTGCAAAGCTACAAGTAAAATTATTTGCAGAAAAGTTCTTTAACTAAAATAATTTCTATTTATATTTGATTTAAAAAGCTGCTTTTCCTGGTTGTATTGATGTCTTCTATGTGAGCATAAATTTGCTGTAACCGACTTATACAGTAAAACGGAGGAATGATGTAAAAAAAAATAGGCTTTAATTGAACAGAATATGCATTTTGGTTATTATACTCCTAGGAAGATTCGATGAACAAATTTGCTTTAGCCAATAAATTAGAGCATCTTCAACATCTTTGTATGGCGACTTTCTCTGGCATTTTCGAGACAGCTGCAACAAAGACCTGAAAAAAAGTTTCTTAATTTCCGCTTTTTTCTTCAGAATTCCCACCAATGTTTGTTCTTGGATGGTTTTCTTGTTATGCAAATTCGGCTTGCAAAATTTTATTACTTTCAAATTAAGATACAAGTTCATATTTCTCCTTCAGCGTAAGCATTGTTAGGTTTTGGATATTCATTTCTAACAGAAATGTGAAATACTTGTTGCAAATAATGCATGAATGAAAGATGAGAAGATGCAAAATCGGATTATGCTGTAATGTTAAGCTGTATGGGGTGAACTCATTTTTTCAGGAGGGGCGTCGACTTAGACATCTAAATGAGTACGGGACAGAAAAAGTATGTTTATTTATGAAGTGGTGATGAGTTAAATAGTGTCGAGTAAACCAAAGTTTTTTAACATTAATGCCTATGTAAGTCAGCTGGGATCAGAAGAAAACTGACTACTTAACTTGCAGTGTCTAGTTATACCTATGATGACTTATTCAGACTCATGTGAGTCAAGTCCACTTAAGTCAACACCAAGAGGAAGTGGAAATTGTAGTTATCCAATATGACAACTAAAACAAAGATGAAAAAAAGACTACAAAACTACAATTAGGTAAATACAATAGTGTTTTATACAGTACATGCAATGTAAAGTTTTAATGTCAATTTCAAATGTGAAGGATCTTGTGCCATGTTGAAACAAACAATTATGGTATATCAAGACAATTTGGCATCAACAATATTGTTGATTGGAAAAAGAACATTAAGCATTAAGTAGACCTTTCAAGAAAAAGGTTTTGGAAGCTAAAAAATGGAAGCCTTCAATAACTTTTAAGTTGTGTGCTACAAGTAGGAAAAGCCTTGATAAGGTTTTCCAGCATGTAAAGAAATCCATCTGAAAACACTGGGAATCCAGAATGTTCATTATACACAGGTTAGTTCTTTACTACTACATACTGTATTTTTGTTATTAAATAAATCTCTGCTTCATTTTACACTTGTGTGTTCTATTGGTTTAAAGAAGAATTTAAAGCTGATATGAGAAAGTGAAAAAAGACAAACTGTTTGGCCTGGAATTAATAACAATCCTCACACAAACTTCAAAATGACTTCACAGATATTGCAATACCAACTCCACATTATTAATTTATGACTAAAGAATTGCTGAATTATATTAGGCTATGTATTACTACTACTAATTAAATGCTAAGTAATTTGGCACTAGAGGCAGGTGATAAGTGCCATCTCTTGCTAAATTTAATAATTGTAATTATTAAATTGCCAAATTACTTAACATTTAATAATAGTAATAAAGTCTGATATACCAAATGTATAAGCTTAAATCCGCTGTTTTTTAGTCAGAAAAACACGTTTTTATCTTAGAAAGCAAAAACAAATTTATTCAAAGTACTTTCCCTCAGTAGCGACTCATTTTTTCCATCTCTCGGGCAATGTTTGGATAACATGCCAAAAAAATTCCTTCTCTTTCATGGCAAACCACTCAAGCCGTTTTCGGACGTCTTCATAAGAATCGAAGTGCCGCTCAGAGAGCACGTGGCCCATCGATGAAAACAGGTGATAGTTGGATGGGGCCAGGTCTGGTGAATAAGCGGGATGGGGTAGCACCTCCCAGTTGAGTGTCTCCAAGTAGTTTTGGACCAATGTTGACACATGAGATGGTACATTGTTGTGGAGGAAAATCAGCTTGTCGTGTCTTTGCTGATAATCCGGCCTTTTTTCATGCAGAGCACAGTGCAATTTGATCAGTTGGTGGTGGTAGCAGTGGGCATTGACAGTTTTACCAGGTTTCAGCAGCTCATAGTAGACAATACCCTGCTGATCCCACCAAATGCACAGCATTGTCTTCCATCCAAAGCGATCTGGTCTTGGGGAAGATGTTGATGGTTTGCCTATATCAACCCACGATTTCTTGCATTTAGGATTCTCGAAATATATCCATTTCTCATCAGCAGTTACAATCCGATGCAGAAACTACTTTCTTTTTTGTCTGGCAAGTAAGATTTCACATGTGTTTTGGTGTCGCTCCATCTGCCTATCATTCAATTCATGCGACATCCATTTTCCAATCTTCTGAATCTTTCCCATGGCACACAGATGCATGGAAATGGCTGGTTGAGTAACACCCAATTGCTTGGCAAGCATGTTTTGCAATTGGGTATCGTCCTCATCCAAAAGAGCCTGCAGTTGACAGTCCTCAACCTTCCTGGGCCGATTCTCACACTTCTTGTCACTCAGGTCAAAATTTCCGTCTTTGAACTGACGAAATCAATCTCTGCACATAGTTTCTGATAAAGCACTGTCACAATAAGCCTCCACAAGCATTCAATGTGCTTTGGCAACCGATTTCTTCAAATTGAAGCAGAAAAGCAAAGCCTGCCGCATATGCTCTTTTTCTGGCACAAAAGTAGACATAATTACCAAAGGAAAAATATACGTTGTTGTATGAAATTGCTGATGATGTGCACTGATTAATGTTGAGATGTCAAAATCATCAAAAAAATATGGCATCGTCATGGTAGCTTAATACGCTTGCTTACGCCATCTATTAGCAAACAGCAGATTTAAGCTTATACACCTGGTAATTCAACAATCACTTGGCTTTAATATACAACTATTGAGTTTGGATGTTTATATTTCATTTATCACAACAGCACAACTACACGTTAGAATAAATTTACAATGCTGACAAACATATTTATTTTGATAGATCTGCAAACCTAAAAGCAGAAGAAAGGTCCCAAATTGTTTCTATAACAAAAAAAAAAAAAAAAAAAGTTGAGAATCTGTCATGCCAGCAGTCACAGGAGACAAAACTCCCACCCTATTTGACAGTGAAGCACAAAACAGTACAAAAAAGATCTAGCTGCCATTTAATCTCCCATAGTCATCCAATCAAAACACTTAAATACAACACAAAATCATAAAAATTTTGTTCATTATAGTATAAATATTTTGCTATACCTGAATATTAATAAAGTGAAATATATGCTGTATGAGAGAAAGGACATGCACACATACAAATGTACCATTTTCAGATGTTAAGAAAAAACTTCAGAATAAAACCACAAAAACCAGAAAATCTGAACACACGACTTTCTAAAAAATGTAACAATTTAGAGATACATATTAATATTAACATATATATTAAACTGAATTTAATAACAGTTTAACAATAATACAATAAAAAAAAATTAGATACAAAAGTAATAAGCCGACATGGATAGATTTAAGATCAAATTTAATGGTACAGTTGAAAGTAAATGATCTTTAGAACACCCATTTGAAATAACAAAAAAATCTATCTATCTTCTAAGTCCATCACTCAAGAACCTCTCCCCCTACAATACTAAAATAAATGGCTATCATTTATACTTGTTATGTATTAAAA